ACATTTATTATTATTATTATTATTATTATTATTATTATTATTATTATGTTGAAAACAGCTGAGTAGATTTTTTCAGGTTTCTTTGATGAATAGAAAGTTCAGAAGAACAGCATTTATCTGAAATAGAAATCTTTTGTAACATTATGAATGTCTTTATCATCACTTTTGTCTTTAACATCAATTTAAAGCATCCTTTCTAAATAAAAGTAGTAATTTCTATCATTTTAAATAGTAAAAATATTTCACAATATTACTGCTTTTGCTGTATTTTGGATCAATTAAATGCATGCTTGGTGAGCAGAAGAGAATTCTTTAAAAAACATAAAAAAATCTTACTGTTCAAAAACTTTTGACTGGTGTATATATACATATAATTTTATTTTATTTTATTTTGAAAAACTACCACATTTTATTGTGTAATTAAACTATTAAAAAAGCTGTAAAATAACTAAATACATAAGAAATGCATGTATATTTTGGCAGTTTGTAAATTAGTAATTTTTGCAGTTTCTCTAAATGGTCTGCATAGACTAGGGGAATCTTTGCGTTGTGAAAAGTCGTATATTTCTTAAGAGGAAAGCCATTCCTGTTTTCCATCACATGTCACCTTTAAATAATCACACATGTGATCAGTGTTATAGTAATGCCTGATATTTGTTTTCTTGTGACTTTTATATTACATTTGGTCCGATGCTCCTGTCTCATTTAAGACAAACACACCCATTACAATTTATGAAGAGAGAAGAGGCAAAAGACTGCATCCATTTATTAATTTACCTCATTGTACCTGCCACATTTTTCCAGCAGAAAACCAATTCCTCATCGCTCTATCCGCAGAGACATTTTGGAAGAGAAAATCTATGGGAGACATTATGTGTAGCGGGGAAATGTGCCAGCTGTCGTAAGTTTGCCATCAGTTTGTGTAAAGGTTAATATCACATCTGCTGTGCAGTCCAGCTTGAGGATTCATTCTGCCTTCCCCGGCTCTGCTGCGGGACTCAGCAGCCATCTTCTGTGTGAAAGCAGCCTTCCTGGAGTCTAGGCTTGACAGCAAACAATCTGTTTGAGTCTGAGAGGGTGAAGAGGTCACCCAGCCCCAGTGCACTGCTTAATGTGGGCCTGCAGCCATGGCCCTCCAAATGGAGGAGAGAGGGAGAGAAAGAGCAAAACTGCTCCATGTTTGGTTTATCATATCTATAGTTCTCAAGCAACTGATTTATGTCGCCAAGGGAACTTGGTTCTTGCTTTATAAAAACAACATGTGCCTTTTTCGTGGGAATCGGTTTTCTACCAGGTGTGTTTTAAATGTTTTAAGCTATAAAAAAAAAATCTAAGCTGTGGTGTTCTAATCAAAAGGGGTTTCATTTCTGTTGCGCAGTTTCATTTTATTTAACTAACTTAATGTAGGTTGTTTAACTCTGGTCCAGTTTATCTGATCCTTGATATGGACTGATGTTGAGATGAAATGCTGGCATTTTATTGCGTTCACTACAGCAACCCACAGCAAAAGTGTGAGTGGTGTGTATTGATCTAAATATTTCATTTCTTTCATGTCACCTTAATCTTGTACAAAGAACACTTGTGGTTTGGGGGAGAAAGATCCTTTTCAAATTAAACGTGGTATATAAGTAAACAGGGGGAAATATGCCTCTGTGCACTCTGCTCCAACCAATTTCAACTTTATTGACACACCTTATTTGTCAGATTTCTACAAACACCTTGAAGTGCTGTCGACACATAAATATATTGATGTGATCTTGTTTAGATTCAGCTGAACACGTGTTGCTCTGTGAATATACACTAGCATGCTGAAATATTCAAATGCTATCTATCTAGCTATCTATCTATCATCTATCTATCTATCTATTAGGGCTGTCAAAATGGCTGAAAAACTAAATTCGAATTTTGTACTTAAATATTATCAATATTCGAATTATATTCGAATTTAAAAGGCATAATTTCAGTTAGGGGGGAAAAAAACTTTCTTAAAAAAGAACTTGTGGCTTCTCTCCTGAGGCCACATGAGGGTGCATCGAACAAAATATTATGCACGTTTCTTCGCAGCATAATAAAATAACACGACTATCTTTGAAAAAAGTGCATAATGTTTAAAATAATGTTTATAAACCTTATATAATTAAAGTTGCTTAAACAATTAGAAACAAAACAGAATCATGCATGTATGTATAGTTTAATACAAAGGACCGAAAACCAATCACAAAGAGTACTTTCTTCATTTAAAAACTTGAGATGCAGTAGGATGGGGAAAACCGCCATAAAGTCTCTCATTTTGAGACATGTTTTTAAAAAGTTGAACTTACATTAATTTTACATAGCTTTCTAAACATGCGGCTCTCTTGTGCGAGACGCGAGTGCAATGGTGATAGACGTCCCTCTAGAAAATGTGATAAATATGCGTTCTGTGTGAATGGTTTAGTTTCGGTTTTGACGTAAACAACATCATCTCCGTATTGATGTTCTTTTTTCCCCGCAATATTTTGAATGAACAACATAGCAGCGCCGCATCTAATGGGTTCAACTGGATAGGCTAACAAAAGCATTAAAATGCAATGACACTTACATCGTCGTCGCATCTCGTGCACCACTGATAAGGCTGCCTTGATACACACCTAAAATTAGAATGCAATGTTTTTGCATTTGAATGTGGATTTTTATTTTAAATTCGACAAATATTTTAAATTCGAATTTTTTTTGACAGCCCTACTATCTATCTATCTATCTATCTATCTATCTATCTATGTCTATCTGTCTGTCTATCTGCGTGTCTGTCTGTCTGTCTCTGTATTTTTCTGTTATTTCATCGTTCTGCCGTTGTATATATCGTTCTATCTTTCTACCTACCTATCGTTCTGTTGTTTTACCTATCTATTCATTGTTCTGTCTGTCAGTCTGCCTATTGTTCTATCTGTCGTTCTGCCTATCTATCACTAACATGCTATTTTGTCATTTTGTCTTCTTGTGTGTATGAATTAGCTGAATTAATATATATGTATCTGATTGATGTGCATGAAGAGTTTATTCAAAACTGTGGTTTACTTAAATGTTTAATCATTAAAATTACTGTATTACCTGTAATTTCATGACTCAATTCTAAATATTTTCTCTGCAGCTTCGTGACACCAAGTCAACAGACCAAAATACAACTCTTCTGCACTTTCTGGCCGAGAAATGTGAAGAAAAATATCCTGAGGTCCTGAAGTTTCCTGATGAGCTTGAGCATGTTGATAGTGCCAGCAAGGGTAAGAATATATTTAATTTTACTTTATTTTAATTTATTTTATCAAGTGGCAGTATTTTTATATGAACATGCTTGCTTACTTTTACAGGATTTCTTAAGTGGAGCACAATATAATTGTTGTAAATAATTATTCTGGTTACATTTACATTATTTGTCTGATTACATTTGCATTTATGGCCTTAGCAGTATTGTGTAGCATATTATGTGACTAAACCTCCAGTTTTATCAGGACACTAATGCTGAGTTTTTAGGTGCACGATTTTGCTGCATGATTTTAGCCCTGATTTTCACTCGCCAACAGGTTTTGCGAAATCGCCGACAAATGCCCAAAATTGGAGGCAAATCAGTGCTCGTTCACGCGAGTGACAATCACGCAGTGTGAATTATCAAAGACGCCGACACCTATGAAATATTTGGCATGCTAAATATCTGGACCTGTCGGCAATTGAAAATCCTGCTGTGTGAAATTAGTTCTGACTGAAACATACATCGGCGATGAACTACAGCCAATGAGAGAGCAAGATACAGGGCAGCGGGAAGCTCGGAGAGAAAATATTTTTATTTTTATTTTTTATTATTATTATTATTATTAAGCAATTAGCCATGTACAAACAAAGTGGCAATATCAGTACATTTTTGCATTAGAAATTAGAATATAGCTACAGAACAGGTGCATGAAGAAATATATACAGTGGGTACGGAAAGTATTCAGACCCCCTTAAATTTTTCACTCTTTGTTATATTGCAGCCATTTGCTAAAATCATTTAAGTTAATTTTTTTTCCTCATTAATGTACACACAGCACCCCATATTGACAGAAAAACACAGAATTGTTGACATTTTTGCAAATTTATTAAAAAAGAAAAACTGAAAAATGCTCAGTATTTAGTAGAAGCACCCATTTGATCTAATACAGCCATGAGTCTTTTTGGGAAAGACGCAACAAGTTTTTCACACCTGGATTTGGCGATCCTCTGCCATTCCTCCTTGCAGATCCTCTCCAGTTCTGTCAGGTTGGACGGTAAACGTTGGTGGACAGCCATTTTTAGGTCTCTCCAGAGATGCTCAATTGGGTTTAAGTCAGGGATTCTGAATACTTTCCGTACCCACTGTATATATATACTTAGATTTGTGTATATACATTTTCCCAGCAGAAATATGTTGTTAACAACGAAGTCGTCTTTGTTACTGTTTGTTCGGGGAGGACTTATAGACCACAATATCAGCGTGATCTTGCGTTATTTCCTCATCACTTCTCGTGTGCGTTTGGTTGTGAAACGTAGTTTGCGGACCAGACAGAGTTGTCGGCGATTCTTCCTATTGTAAAGTAATGCAGTGTGTAACCACCTGTCGCTGATCCATCGTGCAATGTGAACACAGCAGCAACTGAATGCTACCCCAGATAGTCGTGCAGTGTGAAAACAACGATGATCCAATGATTTTGAAAATCATACAGTGTGAACTCGGCATAATACAGTTGCAGTGCTTGACATAATGAAAATTACTGTCATATGTCATATGAGTTGATGAGGTGATTTATTTTTTTGTTTTGTTTTTCTCCTTATAAAACTGCATACAAATAAGAGGGTTATCCTTGATGATAGTTGCAGCATTTTTTTATTAATTTTTTTACAGAGAAGTTCACAATGACCACTACAATAGCTGTACTTCAGTTAAATATAGAGTGTCCATTCAGCACAGAAAGTTCTTGTTGATAGAAAATAAAGTGATTTTTTATCAGGAATTCAATTCTTTCAACCTTTTCAGTCTGCTTGCTGTTAAAGCACAATGTAATATTTTAGTAAAATGACTAAATTTTCTGGCATGTTTGTGATGGCATTATTACTGTCAGTTTGGAAGGCTTGGTGATAATGCCATGTAATTTAGTTTAGCTGCATGTTTGTTTCAGGCAAGATAAAGATGCGCTTTATTTTGATCCAGAAGTCTATCCCACCCATAAGCTGTTATCATGTTTAATCAAACAGAATTCCCTTTAAATGTATTAAGCCTGGTTAATTGAACAACCAGCTTTGGTTTGTGAAGACATCACCCTGATCTGCAGATATCAGCGGTGTCCTTTTGAAAAATATGGGGCTCTGTCAGGTGTGACCTTGAGATATTTACCCTCATATATACCTCACTCTGTCTAAATCACACTGCTTTATGGTGTTCGACAAATCCTTTATTGGTTTTCTCCTGTGGTCTTCTTTTAAGCTGTGAGCTTTGAGGCTTTTTATGGCTTGAATTAGATGAACTAATGTTACAGAGATCAACCCAGGAGACTGGACGCAATTGGCCCCGCAGACTATAATTAGAGCTTTTACAGAGAATGAAATAAAAAAAAGTTAATGGCCAAAGAGCCTTCCTTAATCCTTCTGCTATGTGTAAATCCAGCCGTTTCCAATGCTGTGAATAGACAAGTTTCATTAGAATGGTGCAAAGCAGTTCTGAGGGTTGATGAAGGAACTATAATGAAGCGCAAGGGGCCCATATGCTCCACAGTATGGCCGGCAGGAAAGGTTAAGAGTCCAAATGGGAAGGTAGCTTAGCAGGGATGGTGGCGGAGTCTCACACAGCCGTTCTGACATTGTGGAATGGATTCTTATTATGGCTTGCAGTGATTAAGAGCTTTAGTGCTTCCCACTATGCTGAGGGAGATTTCTGCGAATTTAAATATCTGGTTTCTTAACTCTCATTCATTTCGAACAGATTTGGAAATGAAGACCCTCAGTGAATGCAATAATCTCCTGCATTATTGTCACTCGCAATGTCTGTCTGCGTTCGTCTCCATCAGGGGAAAATAAAAATACAGGCATGTGTATCCCAGCAGTGGCGTAATTTCTCCTGTCAATAAGCTAATTTGTCTTTAATTCCATTTGGAACTGTTTGGTTGAAGCCCTTGAGCTTTATTTACATAGTTAGCTACCTAATTGCTTATCTAATCTAATAAAAGTAATTTAGTGCTTTGTTGTGAAGGATGTGGTCACTGTTGAATAGACCAGCTGTATCTTTGTCAAGGTAGATGGCTGGATGAATGCACAAGCCTAATTCTTTGAAGAGACACGTTTCAGAGAGAATCGGTTCTTTGTGCATGGTCTTTTTCTAATTTGGAATGAGTTAAGCAGTTTGTGGCTCTGATTTAGGTCATTAGTGTGAATACCACTGTAAGCCGGTGTAAGCTCTGTGAGAATCTTACAGCAAGAAATGCCACCCCGCTATATATGTGTTAATAATTATTAATGAATTTTAAAGAACGCCACTGTTGTAATTATATAACTCAATTTATTATGCATTTTAAAGTGTGAATTTTAAAGTGTAAATTCTAATTTTATTTATATATAACACAATGAGTTATATATTACACAACGTGTTAATTGATTCCCGTACACTGTAAATATTAACTTTTGACCGTTACATCAAAGCTAATTATGCTTAATGGCAAACAAATGCTGAAAATGAAATATATCTTACATAGCATTTTTAAATAAAATTTTTAGACCTTACCTGGCAATCTTACGTGTAATGCATACAGATGTCCCACCTGGTTAAGTGTTGAAGCAGTCATGAATGAATAATTCAGTTTTAGTTAATGATCTTTTCGAGACCTTTCTGTTCATGTCAAAGTGGTGAGAGAACATGAATCTGTTTCTTCTTTTAACATGGTAGCACAGCTCACCTTAACCCTGAGCCGCGTTTAGACACCACCTCTCATGCTCTGTAATTCCTACTACCTCTCTTTTCTTAAGTTCTTGCTTTTCTTTTTCACCCTCCTCTGTGCTGTTCAGAACTAACCTTTGGGCTTTCTGTCTCTTTTTTTTGTCTCTCACTCCATATTTCTCACAAAGAACAGTACATTTTTGTCTCTTAAGAATAATACTTCCTCCACTTTATCCCTGTCTCCCCATCAAAGTGGCTTTTTTAGGCGGGCAGAGTTGCACACAAGAGCACTGGTGCGCTGCAAACCCTATCCTGTCCCAGTCTGCCTGTACCCACAGGAGCACACGGCTCTACACCCTGCTGATCTCTGCTGTTTGAGCTTTGTGTAAAGCCCGGATACTCTGATTGTACACCGGGATCTTCTCATGGTCCTCTGAATGTATGTAGTTCTGATAAGCTTCCCATCACATGTCTCACGTTCTTGCCTGATCTCTGCGCTCGGGTAGTGTACTTTGCCCCGACACGCATGAGGGAAGACCAAATCAGGTGATTTCTTCCTGTTGCATCAAGATCTGTTCCAAAAGGTTGCGCGCACACATTTAATAATCACATATCCATCTACAAATATTGGAACTGGCACTCTTAATATACTTGATTGAAAAGAGCAATCAGTTCTGCCTGATTTGCTTGAGAAAGTTATTGTCTCCCTTCAGTTCCTCCTTGATTGGTGACTGCAGAATACCTCAAATCTCCACAAAGATATTGGAACAGAAAGAGTACAGGAAAGGAAGTCAAAATGTATAGATGGATGGATGGATGGATAGATACATTATTGTCATTTCAACAAAACCTAATTATGTTTGCCAGCTTTGTAACATTACCTTGGTCACAAGTTTAAATCAGTGCAATTTGCAGCAGCAATGTTCAGTATATCAGAGAAAACCAAACATTTACCAAATGCATGATGCACAGCATCACAGCACTGGCCAAATAGGACATGTAACAGTTCTGTCAACTGGCTGTGGGCCAGCGGAGCATCCTTATTGTTGAGCTCTTTTGATCTGACCTCAGCTTTGATCACATTATACAATACTTCAGCTCTTGCCCAAAGTTAACTGCCCTGTATTCTATCATTGTTATGCTAATTCCAAATACTGTCTTGACAAATTTAAATTGAAACTGCATCTGTTTGCTAATCAATCTTAATTGCATCACCCCATGTATCTTTTAAGCTGAGTCACAATTTGGCATTTGCTTGAATCTGTTAATGTGATTCAGAAGGATGTTTGTCTTACATGCTTTCACTATCTCCGTCTGGTTTTATTTATTTTCCCCCCCTGCTGT